TTTGGCGATGGAAACTCACGTGGAAGTTAGATCAGTAGAAAAGAAAATGAGTAGCGTTCTGTATGCAGTTGTTGCTGAATTACTTAAAACAAGAATAAATTTAAAAACAAAATACAAAATACAATTCTAACTAACGATAATCAATTAGCATTCTGAAACATACAAGTTCGTGTTTCGAATAAGTTCGTTATATTAGTTCGTAGTTAGAAAAACGGCGTCATCTCGGCGGCGACTGACGGCTGGGTGTTCAACAAAAGGAAACAAAGGCCTCTCGAACCACTTGACTGTTTTGTGTTGCCACAATGGGCGCTTTGATTTCTTCTATTGTGGGAGCAGGTAACAGGTAAAAGCTATACGCTTCAACCCCACTCTACCCGTACTAGTTTGGATTATGTAATGGATACAGCAGTTCCTCTACAACCTATTTGATGTCTGCAATGATATTTAATCCTTATCAAGTGTTACACTAAAGCCTTAAAATCGGTCTCAAGTCTCGTATGAAACACTAGTATTGTTTAAGTAATTACAAATTAATTTACAGTAACATGGGTACAAAATGTAATACTAGCTTAAAAAATTAAAAAAACAACAAAAACAAGTAGTCTTTGTGGTCTTTCTTTTTCTTTACATCTGTACCAAATTTCATCGAAATCCGTTCAGTAGTTTATGCTACAAATTATAACAAACATCCATAATACGTGGACGTTTGGATGGATGAATGGATGAATGTTTGTTAGAGTTTGTAGCCTAAAAGGTTGAATGGATTTAGATGAAATTTGGCATAGATGTAGAGAATATTCTGGAAGAACAAATAGGCTATAAATACTTTCTTTTGTTTTTATTAATGCCACGCGGACGGAGTATCGGGCGGAAGCTAGTTTGAAATAATTACATTTAATTAATATTGTAATAAATGTGTTGTATTAATTGCATCTATATGGATGAGATATGAAATAAATCCTTTGGTACGTGATGGGCCACTAATCTATAGTAATATTATAAAGAGGAAAGATTTGTACGTTTGTATGTATTGAAATAACTCAAAAACTGCTTGGCCTATTTCGAATATGCTCATACCATTATAAAGCTACGTTATCTGCAAGTAACATAGATATTTTTTATTATTTTCCAATTACACGCGGGCGAAGACGCGAGAAACAGCTAGTCATAAATAAAAAAACTTTTAATTATTACGAAGTATCATAAAACGCTTAATAAACTGCATTCTTGGGTTTCGGAGGTATCCCACTGCGTAGGCCGGGTTGGATATTCGAATTTTATGATGTTATAGCTATTAATTTCTTCGAAACATTTGTATACAATTTTCGGCTTTATTTTGTAAGGCATAGAGTTCAAATTTCGATAACACTTGCCGGTAAATTTACCTATATCGCGTGCGTTAAAAAAATGTTTTCTAACAAATACTATGGTATAAGAAACCTCTCATCATCTGCCACCCCCAACTGCTCGTTATAATCACGTCGATATTTTATTACAAGGTTCAATCGATTTTTCAATCGATCATAAGCCAGGTATCGATTCCAACTCGTACAATCGAATGTATAATGTTTTCTAACATACTTTTGTTTCAATTAATTCAATCACAGATTAGATTTTATATTGTTTTTTTTTAATTGCAAGATTTTTATCCGGTTTCAACGTTTTCGCAGTTATATTGCTTAATTTGTTGTTAAATGGCATTCGAATATTTATGACTTCCACTCGCATTCTGTATAAATAACGTGACTAATGCTTTTTTAAGTATCTCAAGTTTCATCGGTTAAGAATAAATACATAAATGTTGATTTGTAAAGAAACATCAGCTTTTCTTTTTTGTTTTCTTAAATACACGATGGAGAGATTCAAGAAGCAGTATGCTAAGAACGTGTGGCTCAGACGAGATATGTATTCAGTTTTATGTGATCCTGTGCCGAGATTCACATGGTAATGTGAAATATTTCTGGCATTCAAAATTCATGTCACCGCGCCACTGACTGATTCTCGCTACAAGCAACTAAAGACGCACTGAAAAACATTGAACTTTCCTCAAGAAGGTAAATAAAGTCTTCGAACTAAAACGTTGTTAAATTTCTTTACTGAAAGAATTAATTAGTTGGAAAACAACTTTAAAGACAAAACACTCCTTTGTTTTTAACTGATCAGACGAACTGTAAACATAAAACAGTTACTATCAGTTCTGCCGACACACGTACGTATCCATACCAATATTATAAAGAGGAAAGATTCGTATTTTTGTATGTATTCGATTCACGTAAAAACTACTGGGCTGAATTAAAAAATTCTTTCACCGTTAGAAAGGTAATTTACCTGTATATAACATAGGATTTTTTTAATTAATTTATTAATTTCACACGGACGATGTCGCGAGCAACAGCTAGTAATTTATATATAGAGTACGGTTCAACTTAAACTGAAGTTATTGCGGACATAAATATGCATATCTACAGCCGAAATTGTTGTATAAAATTACATCGAGTCTTTGACTCCCTTTAAAAAACATGGTAATGTCCTAGTGTTTCATCTATTAGACCAATCAAAATGTTGCCTATTCCACCAATTATTACTTAACTAAACTATATCCGACTCATTAATGTCTGTACTAGAAAGAACATGAATCGAATGACATTTCATCAAAACAGGTGAAGTCGTTGAAGTCATAGGAGGTCACAATGGAACGAATGTACAAACAAACGTATAAATCACCATAAAAACATTGCCCTTTACTTAGCCGGGGAAATAAGTTACATAAATTTCGCGGTAATTGCTTTTGCTTTGATAATTATCACATGAAATTACTAGGTACTATTAATTGTTTTTAATATAGTAGTTTGAAGATTCAGTTCTGAAGTTATAATGATCCCGACAGATGCACTTTTGACATATAACGAACAAAGGGCTCGCTTGTATTCACACGCTATACAAAAGAACTTTTTTGCGTCCGAAGATTCCAAACGAAATCTAAACGCGAATCACATTGTGGGAGCAAGCCAGTTCCACGTTAAGGTTTTCTTACATGAAAATAATCGTCTTGTCTCTTATTAAATGAAATCTGATTTTAGTGCACTACGTATCTTTAATATTAATTAAATAAAAAAAACAACTTTATTTTGCTGAAAATATGCAAATAACGATATGTCTAAGCAATAAAAAGGCATCTTATAAAAGAACAATTGTTCATACATGCTTCATCTTTAGTTATAAAAAGAACGCTACACTTTGGAATGATGAAAATGGACGATTATAAAGAAGACAACAAATAAACTACATTCTCGGTTGCTTTTGTCTTACTCGTGTCTACAAGCTTTATCTCTTGCGCTCCGAACCTCGCTCCCCACACTACTAAAAAAACCCTAAAGGTAAAGTGGCGCGCGCAGGTAATGTCGGCCATTTTGTCTCACCATTTATAATGTTATTCCTCCTTTTTTTCAATAATCCGCATGTTTTATGGCTTGTTAGGTGGTTTGTTACGACGTCCTTTAACTAATTAAACTGCGGAAACACCAGGAGCGGGAAAGGTTTTTTAGCTATAGCGAACTTATCGATTGAAGAAATAGATACAACTGTGGACAAATTGACTAATTTAGAATCAGTCTTTATGTATTATATAATTGTATGTCACAGACTTCTACTAAAACATTGAGTTTTACAGTATGGTATGTTATCTAACATTATGAAGAGAAAAGATTTGTACTTTTGTATATATTGAAATAACTCAAAAACTACTGGGCCGATTTCAAAAATTATTTCACTATTAAAAAGCAACGTTATCAGAGAGTAACATAGAATATATTATTTTATAAATTTCAGGCGGGCGAAGCCGCGAGCAAAAGCTAGTAGATATACATTTCGTCTGTGGAGTCAGGTGTACGCTCTTCATAATTTATTATAGGACAGGGTAATCTCTATAACTTTCAAATGACACTTCATTCTAGAATTATTATAAATATAACAATATTGTGAACTTATCGTCTTAGCGCTTGAACTGCGTATTTAACGTTTTGAGCAAACATCTCTAGAGGGCACCTGATAAGACAGAGTTGGATGGAAATTTCTTCTAATAGGTACATCATATTTAATGTTTTGTAAAGTATAAAAAAGATGGTTTAATAAAATGATCACGCCGGACTCAAAAGGGGTCATGAATTTTGACACTTCTAGTGTTAAAGCTTCATATCGGTCTAGACATGATAAAAAATCTATGGTAAGAGCCATTGATAATAAAATTTGAAGCTTTGAAATTAAAGATTATTTGTTTTTTTTTTTATAACATAAGGTGGCAAACGAGCAAGCGGCCCCCTGAAATCGCTAAAATGGCGAAGCGACCGCTGCCCATAGACATCCGCAATTGCAGATGCGTTTCCTACCCTTATACGGCGGAGGAGGAAACACACAGAAAGAGGATATTTCCCCTTCCTATGCATCTGCTCTACTGTCAAATCGACTTCCCCTTCCCAACCTCTCCTTATAAGAAAAGGGTGGTAAAGAGAAAGGGACTTAAATTAGGCCTCTGGCACCACACTCATCAAACGAAACACGGAATTGCTTCCATTTCACGTCTGTCTTCTGTGTGGTCGTGGTATTACACCGGGCGTGCCGGCCCATTCGTGCTAAGATGTTAAAGCGGGCACTACCACTGTTAAAACTTGTTTCTGTTAAAAACTGTTGTAAACTGTTTCACTGCATTACCGAATTTTTATTTTAAATTGATTAATTAAACTACTGCAATACATAATATTAGACACAGAAGCATATTCACTATTTATATTTAACTAATTACTTTGAGATCACAACGACTTAAACAAAGATTATATCATATTGTACCTGATTACATTTCAATAATTATGTAAATACATTCAGTTATAAGGAGAGATTTTATCTCGATAGATATATGTCTAGAAAGATAAAATCATACTTGCGCGCTTGACAAAACCTATAAAATCGGCCGAAGACGAAAAAACTTTGCATTATTCATTAGCACCATGTTGCAACTAACATTAGCCGATGTATCAAAACAGTTGACCAAAGATGTTATCGTAGAGGCTTTTAGATCGAAAACTAACAGTAAAATTGACGTAGAAAACGTGCAGGTGACGACTGCGGCCCCAAAAGGAGAAGGCCTCATCAGTGCTGTTTACCGTATAAATGTGAGTGGAAGCCATCGCTCTGCTTCTTTCGTAGCCAAAGGCCTAGTTCACGACGCAGTGTTGAGAAGAACTTTAAACTGTTCGATGTATTTCAGAAGAGAAACGTTGTTTTTCTCGAAAATTCTTCCAATTTTAATTGAGCTACAGGAATCGCTTGGAGCAAATGAAAAGATACAAAATAGTGTTCCAAATTGTTATGACTACTTTGTTGATGGACAAAATGATTACATATTAATGGAAGATTTAGCAGCGAGGGGTTATGCTTCCATCCCGCCAATGCCGACAGAATTTGAAAGGAATGAAGCACTTAAAGTATTGTCTCATCTGCACGCAGTGTCCATGGCGTTGAGGATAACGAAACCTTTTCTTTTCACTAAAATAACAAATGAAATATTCGAAATTTACTATCGCGAAGATAAACGATCTTGGTATACTCCGTATTTACTAAGAGCGATGAAGTTAGATTTACAAGTGCTAAGTGAAGACGAAACAGTTTCAAATACTATTTATTATGATAAATTTAAAAAATTGGCATCAGAAGATCCCTACGGTGAATTAGTTAGATTGGTAACAACACGTGGAGAGTATGCGGTTATTAACCATGGTGATGCATGGTGTCCTAATTTTCTATGTTCGAAAGAAAATGCAATTGCAATAGACTTTCAACTAATACGTGCAACTTCCCCGGCCACTGATCTGTCTTATTTCATTCTTCTCTGTGGCTCTTTGTGTCAAAGTAAAAATGATTTTATGAAAGCTGTCGATATCTATTATTCTAATTTTGAATACTATCTTAGGGATATGAATATAAAACCAGAGGAAGTTTTTACTAAGCAAATGTTATATAGTGAATTAAAGAAATATGGAAAGTTTGGACTGTTAGCAGCTTCGACTAGTATTCCTTTGTTGGCAAGCGAGAGATGCGACGTGAACACATTCGAATCAAAGTATGCTGGAGTGGAAAGAATACCATTAGAAGAACTATGGAAACTTACACCTATTACTGACAAAAATGTTAAGGAATCCCTAATTAACGCAGTTCGGGTAGCGACAGACTTAGGTTTTATTTGAATCATACGAGTTATAAACTTTTCAAATTATAATTTGTAGCATTAATAAGATGCCAATTAAATACGTTTTAGCTATTGTTAGTTGTTCAGTTTGCGATTGCTGTCAATTTTTTGCTTCTTCAACTAACTTTTTTTATAGTTGTACAGGCATTATTTATTAACGGAACTCAGACATTTAAAAATGATCGTTAAGACGGTCTTTCGAATAGAAATTCTTTTACAAAGCCACCTGTATCTTTGTAGAGATAACGTGAATGAGTTGGCAGTAAGTCGGAATGTTCGGACTCATGAGCTCGTGACCGATCAAGAGTCAGAAACTAATTGTGGTTGAAACGTTGTTTGAACCGACAATCTCCGATATGATAGCCGTAGGCAAGGTGGCGTGCTATACGAATATTAACGGTAACTAATATTGAATTCGCGCTGTTAATAACATTTGTATTATTGTAAAAAAATGTTTGCACCAAAACTATGGCTGTGTATTTCGTTAGCAACACAAGTTTGTACAAGTATGTGCAAAATCACTTCAAAAAACACAGTTTACTGGATAATATAAAAAGATAGATACGGGTCTAGTATTCTAATAGAAACTAAGTATAAAATTCGTTCGCTACTACTTTACGAGAATATCCGTTAATTTTTAAATTCCTATTAACGGAGGAGGATGCAGAACAAATAATCATTTACATTTTATTGGATTTAAAAAAGCGCTAAATATTAAATTCGGATTATACATTCAAGAGACATTAGTTTCCTAAAATACAATCTAAATTAGAATAAATATGTTTGTTAAACAAATTCATTTTAATTTGACGGGATATACGTAAGTCCTTTGAATGTAAATTGTTGATTTCGTTTTATTAATGCATATTTAAAACTATAGGAGTTTCTAAGAAAATTCCTCAAAATAGCAATGGCATTGAATATGTGCATAGAATATCTTGCATTATCCCCATCCTGGGCTTGTGGTAAACGAATAATGAAATTGTTTCTGTTCATTTAATAACTTCGTAGTGTTACTGTAACCTTGTCATATAATACTAGCTTACGCCAGCGACACCTTCAACGTGAAATTAAAAAAAAAAAACAGAAGTAAGTAGTCTACGTGTTCCTTCAGACTATGTTCAGCCGTTTGGTCCAAACTCTAACAAATATCCATTCATCCATCCATCTAAATTTTCGCATTTACAATATGTGAATTATAATTCAATTTTTTTTAGTCTTTATATTATAGATTATTGATAACTTTTTAAACAATGATATTTTTAATTAGCTTGTCTTGTCTACAGTGTCCTGAATAGCCATTCTTATTCCTTTTGTCTTAGCAGTTATGATAACCAAAATTAAAATATACGAAGTTGTGTTTTACATAATATGTGTTTTTCAAGTAAATACTCAAACAACGTCAGTAAGTGCATTGACGTATGTAAATTATACTGAACAATACAGTTCAAATGGTAGAGGGCAAGTAAAAAATGGTAAATAGGGTTGCATTTAGTTAGGACCTGGCTTGTTTATACGAGGTTATGAATTAAACATTAATATTGTATTGTTACTGAATTAATACAGTTTTTATATGGAATAACAAATTTAGCAAACGTTTATTTCAATTTCAGGTAACAAAACATGAAAACATTCAGTTATTTGTTTTTTTTTATTTAAATTGAGTGCAAACATGTTTAAAGTATATGCTTAAATAAAGCTAAGCGTTATTTATTCTCATATATTTTATCAACAAGGAGACATTAACAAATACAAGATAATTTAATAGAAAAGTTAATTATTATAAATATTACATGGTCCATTAGCGGTGAACAGTCGCGGCGACATCCCAAAGGAGGACAAACACAACAAAAAAGATTTGAAATCACGACCTGTGATTGGACAAGGCTCTTAAAATTGTTTAAGGGCGCTTCTAAAAGGAGATAAAGCCTTTAACATAATAAAAAAAGTCGAGAACATTTTGTAAACAGGTTGTAAACGATCTGTTACTGTGCTCTGAGAACACCGAATTCAGGAATCTTGTATCTAAAGAGGTTTGTGTTAACGCTGTATTAGATTTGTAAAAATATAATTCTCCGTAGTTGGATGTACAAGAAACGAGAGAGAAGTGGCAAGATTAAATGAAAATCAAACCTGTATCGGCTTTGCCAACCGATGATCTAGGTTAGGTAGCCACTATTAATTACTTTTCACGTATATTTGTCATTTTTCATATTCTCTAGTGAAGTACCCCATGCCCCTCTGGCGACACTTATACTGCCTACCTCTCTGGGTTTTGAAATTATGTGTTTGTACGTATTTTACTTGTAGTTTCTCTGGTTTTTTTTTTTTAACTCGATTGAAGAATGTTGGCCACAGTAACAGTAAGAGTCAGTCAGAACTTTAGATATATACACAACGACTAATTATTCGCTGCAAGAATTAGATAATGTATACGTCAGCTGTTTGTTGCTATTACGTTCTTAAAGTACTCTTTATATTATTCTATATACAAGCTTTCCCGTTTTGTAAATTAATTCTCGAATAACAACAGTTTATTGCGATTAAATTACGTGAAAATATATCCAAGATGTTAACTCTGTTTGAAATTATTAACAAACGTTAATATGAAAACCCCAAAAACAATTAAAAAACTGTTGTGTTTTATGTGAATATTTTAACATGAAGGTTTGTTAACCTTTTTTATATTGTAAAAAATATTATATTATACTCGTATTGAAGATAATATTTAGTTTGTTAAAAAATATATGGAGGATTGGAAAATGCACGGAAATTTAATACAAATTGTCAATTTACAACGAACGTGATGTATTTCTGTGACATTAAATAAGACCAGTTTTATAGATTGTTTAAAAAACTTTTACATTTGAACATTTAAATTAGTCCATCCAGAATCAATTGTCCCATCTATAACTTTTTCGAGTCTATGGAATTCATAAACTTAACGTCCATGAACATCGTTAAATGAAAAGACTTTAATAGTTAAATTACAGACATAAAAATAATCAGAAAAATGTCGGTGCCGTACTATCAAATTTGTGGTAAAACACGTTACCATCGGCCACGAAAGAACTGGTGTAGCCCGTACGATCTACCCGTGAAATCGGAGAGTGAGCGAATGTTGTAAATCAACTGAATGGACGCGGCATTTTTTACTGTTCCCTTAATAGTGTGACCATAATTAACTAGTAGTATTTGGATACCACAATGAATACATTATCTGATTGTTAGGACAATGTAAGTAATAATTAAATACAATACTTTCCACAGAATTAAATAAATTTTGTTTTAACATAAGTCCTACTTTTCAATCGTTTTAGGAAATCACAAAAATCAAGCAGTTTTATAGATTACTTTTTGTGGACTTACGACTTCTCATGTTACGCCTTACATTGAAAAAGCAGTTTACAAATATCTGTCAATAAAATAAGTTTTATGTGCTGTAATGTATAGTGAATATGGGCTTGGCTTTTACTGGCCATATATTAATATATTCAGCGGTATATATGTCTATTTTATAGTAATTATAATAACTATGATAATAATATTAACATATTTTAGCGATTGCCGCACCTCTGTTATAAATGCGGGATTATAGTGCAAGAAACTTATCTTGTCCGGTAGGTATAGCAAGCGACAATCAAGACTGCTACAGTTCGACAAGGATTTAGTGACAATTTTTTGGCATTAACACTTGAGTACTAAAGTAATTTAGTTTCATTTATGGTCACCAGAGGGCAAGATATAGTACCATGTGATTAGCTATACCTTTGAACTTTGACGTTGTTCTAAAAATCACTAGCGTTCGAAGCCGTTCGCATGGACACCCTAACGTCAAATCGAAGCTCTTAACTTTTATCTAAAAGCAACGAGCGAACGCATCTTGTTTGTAATCGTGGTACTCAAAAAGTCGGGAACATGACATAAAAGCCTTTTAGTTCCCCTTCAAAGGCTAATGCAAACTTGAACGGTCGAGATAAAGCTAAGGTAATGATTAGTTGAAATACATCAGAGGAATGCAGTTGTTAATGATGTTATGTATGCGGATTTTATGTCCGCTTATTTTAATTCAAAATGTTATAAAATGCTTTAAATATGAATTAACATGTATCATCATCACCAGTTCGTAAACGTCTCCACTGAGTAGCTCGGAGCATATCCTTTAGGGTGACTAGGTTTTAGTCATCCACGCGGACCCTGTGGGGGTTGGTTGACTTCGCACATATCTTCGATATTAAGATAATCAAATTTGTAGGTTAATAAACATTGTTTACCGTTAATGTTACAAAGGTTGAAGTAAAAGATAATTACTGGGCTTGTAAACATTTTTTAATTATATCAAGTGCAATGTAATGAATGTCAGTGTGGAAGTAAATAAAATACTTAAAACATACTAAACATCTACACATTATTACATGTAACATTCCTACTTGATATTTACATAGATATTTCTTTGTTTATTTATATACTTACTAGATTTTGCCCGTGACTCCGTCTGCGTGGAATTGAAAAAAAAAAAAACAAAATTAAGCAGCCTATGTGTTTTTCCAGACTATGCTCTACATCTATGCCAAATTTAATCGAAATCCGTTCAGCCGTTTAGGCTACAAATTCTAACAAACATCCATCCATCCATCTAAACTTTTGCATTTATAATACTAGTATGAAGTAAGATTGTGTTAACAACTAGATGTTGCTCGCGATTTCGCCCGCGTAAAATTAAAAAAAAAACTTAGTCAACATAGCTTATCTTACTCACTGATAAAGTACTTTTCTAATTTTTGAAATCGGTCCGGTAGTTTTTGAGTTATTTCAATACCTACAAAAATACAAATCTTTCTTCTTTATAATATTAGTATGTGTGTTGTTTAGTTGTTTTTTTTTACAATATATTTAAGATAAAAATATTATCTTTTAATCAAAAATTTGTACGACACCGACATACTTCAGTAAAACGTATCAGGTTTTAAAGATGATTATCATTGATGACATTTTAGA